ATGGCTGTGTCCGCCTGCTGCACACTCCGCGGCGCTGGCAGGTTCCGCGCGCAGAGGCTGCTGCTCCGATCCTGCCCCCCCGTGCTCAGTCCAGCTCGAGCCCTGGGAAGAGCCGCCGCTGCCGCCACCTCCTCCATGGCGCCCAGTGTTCAGTTCTCGCCCGCCCAGCGCAGCTTGTTCGACGAGCCGCTGGCTGTCACGGTGCAGGGGCTGTGCCCGCAGCAGGAGGTCACGCTCCGGCTGTCTCTGAAGGACGAGGGGGGCGAGCTTTTCCAGTCTTCTGCCCGCTATAAGGCAGAGAGCAGTGGGCTGCTGGACCTCACCCGCTCCCCAGCGCTGCCGGGAGGCAGCTTCTCCGGCCTGGAGCCCATGGGGCTGCTCTGGTCCCTGCAGCCCCAGAAACCCTTCCGGCGGCTGGTGAAGCGGGATGTGCAGAGCCCCTTCTGCCTGGAGCTGGAGGTGTTCGAGGGCCACGGGCCTCTCCCCAGCCGGCTGCTGGCCAGGGGTGCCCACGAGCGGGGCTTCCTGCGGGACGGAGTGAGGAGGATCCCGGTGCGCGAGGGGAGGATCCGGGCCACACTCTTCCTGCCTCCTGGTGAGTGACCGGCTACTGCTCCCTCCTCAGGTGGGAGTGGGGGGCGGCCACGTGCTGCCAGCCGGACGGTGCGCGGCTCCTCTGCCTGAGGAGACACGCGTTGCTGGGAGCGTGGGGATTTCCCCCTGACTTCCAGACAGTCGAGGAGATTTACAAACAACCCTGCCCCGCGCTAAAAGCGAGTAGCCCGTAGCCAAGCAAACCAGACTTCGCTTTGACATGGACCCCGAGCAGCCCTCTTTCCTTTCCAGGGGCGCCATTTCAGATTTGGGGGGGCACCTACATGCTGTGATGGCACTATGGGAGGGTGGGGTAGGACAGAAGAGAGTGAGGGGGGTGGACTGAGAACACAGGCTTCAGCAGTGTTATTGATTGTGCTCAGTACAAGCCAAGCACCAAATGGGAAGGGGGAAAACCAACTCTAATATGCCCTCCCCCCACTCATAATCTCTATCCAGGGGCTACTTAAGACACTGGAAAACTAATATTTTGGCAGACAACAGAGAGCTGACAGGAGCACAATTTCTAATTCCTATATAAAAGAAAGAAAAATAAATATTAGACCCACTCAGCTCTAACAACAACATATTTTGACATCTTGTGACTAGTCACTTAAGGGGCACAGGTTAGCCTTAAAATTTTAATGTATATTCTTACTTTATTACTAACTCTGTGGAGAGAGACAGGCCCTGTTATGACTCCTGGGCTCTATCTCAGTTCTGGACGGGAGTGGAGCCTAGTGCGTTACAGCAAGGGGGTCAGATACATTTCATCTCTATATAAGAACATAAGAACGGCCATACTGGGTCAGACCAGTGGTACATCTAGTTCAGAATCCTGTCTTCCAACAGTGGCCAATGCCTTGTGCTTCAGAAAGAATGAACAGAAGAGGAAATCATCATGATCCATCTCCCGGTTGCCCGTTTCCAGCTTCTTTCAAACAGAAGCTAGGGACACCATCCCTGCTCATTCTAGTTACCCTCCTTGAACATATTTTGTTCTTATTGGAACCCTGTCATAGTTTGGGTTTTTCCACCATCTCCCAAGTTGATTGTGAAAAAATAATTTATTTTGTTTGTTTTAAATCTGCTGCCTATACATTTAATTGGGTCAGTTTCTTGTGTTATGTTAGTGAAGGAATAAATGACATTTCCTTATTCTATTTTTCCACACAATTAATGATTTTCTAGACATTTAACATATCCTCCCCACCCTTTAATAATTTCTTTTCCAAGTTGAAAAATGCCAGTCATGTTACTCTCTCCTCATATGGAAGCTGTTCCTTACACCTAATCATTTATGTTGCCCTTTCAGTACCTATTCCCAAATCCAATCTTTTTTTTAAGATGAGGTAACCAAATCTGCATATAGTATTCAAGATGTGGGCATACAATTACTTTATATAGAGGCAATATGGTATTTTGTCTTATTCTGTTAGCTTTTTAGTTTTTAGACTTCCACTGCACACTGAACAGATGTTTTCAGGGAACTATCCACAATAATTCCAAGATCTCTTTCTTAAGTGGTAACAGCTATTTTAGACCCCATCGTTTTTGTATCTATAGGTAGGATTATATTTTTCTTGTGCCTTACTTTGCACTTATCAATACTGAATTCCATCTGCCCTTGAGTTGCCCAGTCATCCAGTTTTGTAAAATCCCTTTGTAACTCTTTGCAATCAGCTTTGGATTAGTCACTGTTTATCCATTTTTCAAGAACATTTATATGTTTAACACAGTAATCCAAATGCAAATCCCAGCAGCACAATACTCATTCTAACCCTTTCTCCTCCCTATCTTTTAAGTGGAGTACCTAGCAATGTTTTTATGATGCTCAAATGATCCTTCAATTACTTGAATGCCCAAGCTTTTGTTATTCTTAATCTCCCTCTTTTTATAACAAACTCCCTGCCCCAAAGGCAAGACTGCAAGCAGCTGAAATTCTGTTGCATTTAAGAACTGCCTTTGGAATCAGGACATGGGCTTTAGGCAGCCCTCAAGTATGAAATCCAGGGGTTCAGCTCGGCCCCCCTTAACCCTTCATAAATGGTGCCCTCGTCCCTTACAGAAGTCGAATTGCCTCTTTCCACCTGCAAAGCCTGTACACACTGTCACTCCGTGAGACCTCTCTCTTCCATCTGAAATCCATGTTAATACTTCACCACACCCACAGGAGTTTGAACAGCCAGCTCAAAATAACCTTCATACACCAGTGGGCTCTCAGAAGAGTAGCATGGTGACTGTCCTATGGCTCACAGAGCCACTAATTGTAGGCACCTGCCTGGGACACCCATCGCTATGGTATCTAAGCATAGTGAAGCTGAGCCCTGAGGATGCCATCCTACCAACACCTTAATAACTTCACTCATTCCATCCTGAGAACACGTCTAAGTTTGTACAAAAGAACACGGGAAGGGAGGTGGCTGTGGTCTCCTTCCTAAACCTTTGTCCTGTGGGTACTCACTTAAGATATGGGAGAGCCTGGTTCAATTCACCTTTCTGCCTGATATGGGATTTGAACAGGGATATGTCATCTGTCTGGTGAGCATCCTACCGTTGACTGGCAGAGGTCTTCAAAGTGTGTGGCATGTCCCCAAAAGAGGGGCATACAGGACAGATGGGGAGCACAGCAGGTCCTGGACTGACCCCCAAAGGAGAGTAAGCACCACCCAGCTTCTCCTTACCCTTAGCTCTGCTCTGATCTGCCCCCAGCCATGTCTCTGTCTCCCAGTCCTCAGCCTGGCCCCATCCTCAATGCAGCTGTGCCCATGGCCCCATCTCCTTGCAACAGCTTCCAGCCTTGGCCACTGGCCATGGTTCTGTTTCTGGCCTGGGGCCAAGGCTGAGGGAAGACTGGGAGTGGACCTGCACCTGATATCCGGAAATTTATCTAACATCAAAATTATAGGAATACAAGTCTTTCTGTACAGAGCTGTACTTAATGGTTTCGATACAGAGCATATAAGACACCAGCTCTTCCTAAGTTATATCATGGCCACTGCAGAAATGTGTTGTGTGTTTTGAATGTAACAAATAACAGCCTTAAATGGAATTATTTAAAGATTAACAATCAGAGATTAGTACATTAGCTTGAGTTTGTGTGTCTGCCTGTGAGTCTGTTTGTTCAAAAACTATTAAGAATATAAGAACGGCCATACTGGGTCAGACCAAAAGTCTCTCTAGCCTAGTATCCTGTCTTCCAACAGTGGCGAATTCCTGGTGCCCCAGAGGGAGTGAACAGAACAGGTAACCATCAAGTGATCTCTCTGCTGCCTACCATTCCCAGCCTCTGACAAACAAAGGCTAGGGACACCATTCCTACCGTCCTGGCTAATAAGCATTGATGGACTTGTCCTTCATTAATTTATCTAGTTCTTTTTTGAACCCTGTTAACATCCTGGTCTTCACAACATCAAACAGTAAGAGCTAGGAGTACCAAATTTGGTATGCAGCTTCCTCTTATCATAACTTAAAGCAAGATCAGGGTTTCGCTATGCCAGGATAATGGGATGTGTCATAAAATGGAAATGGAAAGGGAAAGGTCTGGCAGGAGGGAGTTATGCTGTAGAATGACCACACGAGGGCAGCAAGGGGCCAGAGATGGGACCAGGACTACAATTCCAATCGGGCCAGCAGGAGGACGGGAAGGAAAACGGTATAGCTATCTACTCTATATTTCAGAGAGTTTGTTTGTGTGTCTTGTCTGTGTGTTTGTCTGTCTCACAGTTTGAGGATATGCACCCTTTCTGTAGCTGTACCTGCTGCAGTAGCCATGGACACACTTCTCACCTGGTCCCAAAATGCTGTGGTGAGAGAGGCCTGGTGTTGTCCTCTCTCCCCAGGACAGCCTGCATACTGCATTCCTCATCCCTAGCCCCACCCTAGAACAATGATTTAAATGAAGAAAAACAAAACTTATTTGAGGTAAGGACCTGAGCAATGTGAGGTAAATCTGTCTCGTAAATCTACTTTACGACCCGATAGATGGGTGACGAGACGGTACTTTGGTCTCTCCCTTCCTGTATATCCAGTGGAATCCTAGCAGTACTTGTTCTCAGTTCAAGTCCCCAAACCTCTGCCTTTTTATAGGCGTGAGACAAAGAATGGGAAGTGACTATACAGAATGGCTGTGTCTAGATTGCACCCCTTTTCCTTAAAAGGGATGCAAATTAAACACAGCGCAATTGCAAATGAAGCGGGGAAGATTTAAATCCCCGCTTCATTTGCAATTGCACTGTGTCTAATTTGCCTCCCTTTTACGGAAAAGGGATGCAATCTAGACACAGCCTATGTGTTTTGTTTTGACATTTTCATTATACATAATTACTTATGGGATTTCTTTTATGGTGTCTTTATGTTACACAATTGATAAGCCAAAGCAAATTCTAATTTGGTCATTGTTACTGAGAGCTGTGACAACCAGCGGTTCTTACTAAGTTTATAAACATCTTTCAATGGATTATTATTTCATCCATTACAAAAACCATTATAAATCATCCTGTTTTGTTTATAACATACTTCCTTAGACACTTTTAGTAGTTTAAGGGCCATTTTCCTTAGACACCTGAACTATATTAGTAAAAGCAGAGTAAAAACTAGCATTAAAAATTGCACACATTCCATTATAAAGTTCACTTTCCCTTCACGCATTAGGTTGAATTGAAGAAAAATAACTTGTTAGTTTAAATATAGGGCAATACATAGATACACAATAAAATTCATATAAAAGTGTTAAACACTTTTAATTTACACAAATGATAAAAGCTAATATTTACTAATACACATGAGATGCTCAAGCTAACACTTACCACCTGATTATAAAAGGCAGGTAGTGGCATGTACTCAGTGAAATCCAAGACTCTGAAACGTATCTTCTGCCTTGATACACTAGATCTTGGATTTCATTACTTTCAGTGCAAGAACCACCTTCCTTCTGAGCCCTTCTCTGAGGATTGGACAAGGTGGAGTCAAAGTGAGACACAGATGAAAATTCAAAAGAATTGGAGACTAGGGTGTTAATAAATGTGTAGTTGTGTAAATGTGTAACTGTTGCACATTTATATGCGGTGTGGGGGAGGCAGGAGCCAGTGTTTGCTGGGAGCCTGCTTAAGCTGGCTTTCTGCAAGCACGAGTTCCTGCTTGCCCCTCCCCCCGCTGCTGCCTCTGATAGAGAGGCAGTAGCGTGGGGGGCAGGGGGCTCCATGGGAACAGGCATGGGCACCAGCTCCCGCCTCCACACCCCTTGCTGCTTCTGATACAAAGATAGCAAGGGAGAAGTGCATGTAACCGTTAGGGTTAACTGATGAGCCCAGGCTTGTCGATTAATCGTTTAACTGAGAACATACTAACATCCCTATTGGAGACTAGTGTCCGCTATGCAGCTGATTTTTTTTTTGTAAATTTTATTGAAGAATTCAAATTTATGGGTTTTAACAATGTACAGGACCTAAATAATAAGATAGGCATTCACAATCAATAATGGATTGTATGAAATAATCCATGATGTCTTCAGTAATTGCAAGAATATATATTATTATCCATACCTGTACATAACAAAACAGGCTGTCTATGCTAATCTCTGAAGTATTTACTAGTTTATGGAGAACCTAAGGAACCTTAATCTTGTAGTTTTTCTTTTAAAGAAAAAACAAACAATTTTAGAGGAAGGTAAAGTCCAAATTGTTTGAAATTTGTAATGTGAAGGAAAAAATTTGAACTAACTACACCTCTTTATTTGGTTTCCTACAGGAGATAGCCCTTTTCCTGGAATCATTGACTTATATGGTACTGGAGGGGGGCTCCCTGAATATAGGGCAAGCCTGCTGGCTAATCATGGCTTTGCCACACTGGCTCTGGCTTACTATGGTTATGAAGATCTCCCCAGAGATATGAAGGAATTCCATTTAGAGTATTTTGAGGAAGCTGTGAACTACATGCTGCAGCACTCACAGGTCAGTTTGTTCATGGGTGTTCCTGTGATACAGGAAGTTCTCATCAGAAGGTTGTTGTAAACAGGGCTGTCCTTACAATGCTTTGTGCCCTACTCAGCCTGAGCACCTGCATCCCCACAAGGTGGGTAGACTGCTCCATGGAGTGGCTGTGCTCAGAGCTGCAGGTCACAGAGGCAGGAGCAGGGAAGAGAAGCTAGAGGGGGAGTGGGTGGGAGGCACCATGTGGGAAGCAGCATATGCTGTGGGCAGAGGGCATCCGCATAGCTAGCCAGAGGCAGGGGCAGCAGTTTCTCCTTCCAGCAGCAGGGGAATCAACTTGTGAGCGGTGGCAGAGCGCAGCATTCCCTAGACTAGAGAGTGAATGGATTTCTATGAAGTTCATACAGTTATCAGAATTTGAGCCCTTATAAATCCTATGGGGAAAAAGGTCCTATAGACAAGCAAGATTATTAATTTTCATTCAGTGCTAATGATCTCTCTTTCTGTCCCACTCAGGTTAAAGGTCCTGGAATTGGGCTACTTGGAATCTCCAAAGGTGGTGACCTATGTATCTCAATGGCTTCCTTTTTAAAAGGCATTACTGCCACTGTCACCATCAATGGCTCTGTGGCCAATGTGGGTGCAGTGCTACGTTACAAAGATATCAGCATTCCACCTCTTGGCTTCGATCGGAAGCGCATCAAAATTGATAAGTCTGGGATTGCAGATATTGTGGATGTCTTAAATAACCCACTAGAGGGGGATGACCGTCAAACCTTTATCCCACTGGAAAATGCTGAGGGACACTTCCTGTTCATTGTTGGCAAGGATGATCATAACTGGAAGAGCGAATTCTTTGCCACTGAAGCCTCCCATCGTTTGCAGGCTCATGGGAAGGAAAAGCCTGAGATAATCTGTTACCCTGGAGCAGGGCATTATATCGAACCCCCTTTTTCTCCAATGTGCTCAGCCTCAATGCACCTGTTGATTGGCAGCCCTGTGATCTGGGGAGGTGAGCCCAAAGCTCATTCTGTGGCACAAGTGGATGCTTGGCAGAAAATCCAAGCCTTCTTCCACAAATACCTTAATGGTAAAGAATGTGTAGCACCCAAGCTGTGACACACCTGGCTATAAGGTGCATTTTACAGGTAAAGTTATTACTGGCTGTTAAAATTTACTTGGGTAAAAGAATCTTTCAGTGAACATGAAGGGGAATTTGAGTGAATACATCTTTAAGATGAATATGTTTTTATCCTCTCTCCCTTCCCATGTTGCTGCAGGAGAATAAGGGATCTGAGCAGGGGAGGGGGTTCTGTTTTTTTCAGCCCATGGGATGTGGTCCACTTGCAAGTCACACTCCACCAGTTGAAGATTACTGCACAGTAGTTAACTTCCAGCCTCCGGTGTGGGGATTTAGACATTTCATATGATTCTCATTTTAGTCTCATGGCTTGGATTATCAGAAACAGAATTCAAATATTGTTTTTAGTCTGTTGCTTCTGAATTACATTCTCTTAAACTGTTTATTGATTTGATAAATTTCACAATCCAGTGCCTTGCAAATCCAAGCCAAATTCTAAGACCAACTCAGTGTTTTATGGAGATTGTTTTTCCATTATCATTAAAATTAAATAAATACATGTTTGATGTTTGAGGATTTTTGTGGAATTGTGTAATAGAAAGTGCTGGCAGCGACACAGGTTAAGATCGCCTAACTTGTTCCATTGTAAGGCCCCAAGTGATTAAAGAAGTTAACCACAATTAACTGTGCGATTAAAAAAATTGTGTGATTAATCCTGCTGTTAAATAATAATAGAATACCATTTATTTAAATTTATTTTTTATTACAAATATTTGCACTGTAAAAACAAAACTAATAGTATTTTTCAATGCACCTAATACTGTATAAGCACTGTAGTGCAATCTCTTTGTAATGAAAAATGAACTTACAAAAGTAAACTTATGTACAAAAAATTATTGCATTAAAAAATAAAAAATGTGAAACATTAGAGACTACAAGTCCATTCAGTCCTGCTTCTTGTTCAGGCAATCGCTCAGACAAGCAAGTTTGTTTACAAGTACAGGAGATAATGTGGCCCACTTCTTGTTTACAGTGTCACCTGAATGTGAAAACAGGTGTTCTCGTAGCACTTATATAGCCAACATTGCAAAATATTTACTTGCCAGAAAGACTAAACATTCATATGCCCTTTCGTGCTTTGGCCACCAATCCAGAGGATATGCTTCCGTGCTAATGACACTCATTAAAAAATGTGGTGAGGAGTCCTGTGGCACCTTATAGACTAACCGAAATGTTGGAGCATAAGCTTTTGTGGGCAAAGACCCACTTTGTCAGATGCATGTAGTGGAAATTTCCAGAGGCAGGTATAAATATGCAGGCCAGAATCAGGCTGGAGATGATGAGGTGGATCCAATCAGGGAGGATGAGGCTCACTTCTAGTAGCTGATCTGGAGGTGTGAATACCAAGAGAGGAGAAGCTGCTTTTGTAGTTAGCTAGCCATTCACAGTCTTTGTTTAATCCTGAGTTGATTGTGTCAAACTTGAAGATGAACTGTAGCTCAGCAGTTTCTCTTTGAAGTCTGGTCCTGAAGTTTTTTTGCTGCAGAATGGCTACCTTTAAATCTGCAATTGTGTGTCCAGGGAGATTGAAGTGTTCCCCTACAGGTTTTTGTATGTTGCCATTCCTAATATCTGATTTGTGTCCATTGATTCTTTTACGTAGGGACTGTCCAGTTTGGCTGATGTATATAGCAGAGGGGCATTGCTGGCACATGATGGCATATATTACGTTAGTAGATGTGCAGGAGACTGAACCAGTGGCAGTATGGCTGATCTTGTTAGGTCCTGTGATGGTGTTGCTGGTGTATATATGTGGGCAGAGTTGGCACCGAGGTTTGTTGCATGGATTGGTTCCTGAGTTAGAGTTATTATGGTGCGTTGTATAGTTGCTGGTGAGAATATGCTTCAGGTTGGCGGGTTGTCTGTGGGCGAGGACTGGCCTGCTTCCCAAGGCCTGTGAAAGTGAGGGATCATTGTCCAGGATGGGTTGTAGATCACTAATGATGCATTGGAAAGGTTTTAGCTGAGGACTGTAAGTGATGGCCAGTGGTGTTCTGTTGGTTTCTTTCTTGGGCTTGTCCTGTAGCAGGAGGCTTCCACTACATGCATCTGACGAAGTGGGTCTTTGCCCATGAAAGCTTATGCTCCAACACTTCGGTTAGTCTATAAGGTGCCACAGGACTCCTAGTCTGAATCTGCAAAAGCGGCGAACACGGCTACCCCTCTGATAATTTAAAAATGTGTTAATTACATTTGTGACTTAACACAAATGAGGGGAGAACTATCTGTTTTACTTGCATTTGTCTTATATTTCATGTTATAGCAGTCTTGGATGAAGATGACCCACCTGGACACGTTAATTAAAAACAAACAAAAAACTTTCATTCCAGTTTTAACAAAACACAAAGAGGGTACTAATGTGAGATTTATAAAAAAAATCAGCAGCAGCTTTTGACCCACAGTTTAAGAATCTGAAGGGTTCCAAAATCTGAGGGACAAGCTGTGTAGCATACTTTCAGAAATCTTCTGAAACTACAGTGGAAACTACAGACCCCAAACTACCAAAAAAAATAACTACCCTTCTGCTGGTAGGATCTGACTTAGATAATGAACATGAATGTGCTTGGGCTGTAATGTTTTGTATCATTGTCAAGCAGAGCGGAGCATCAGCATGGATGCATATCCTCTGGAATGGTGGTTGAAACATGAAGGCACATATATATTCTTTGATGGACCTAGCCTCCATGAATTATTTTCTTGACCCTGTTATAGTTACATTCTCCACTCACCCAGTCATCTCATAACTTTTTTTCCTACCAGAGTGACTCTCCCATTTTAAAAGAGATTCTGATGTGAATCTCCATGTTATTCTAGAATCTCATATGAACCCAATGAAGAAAAAAATCAGATAATTATCATATCAAATAACTAATAATCTGGGTTTTATGCCTGATCTTTTGATACACATTATGCCTGAGATTTCAAATATTATAGGTGGGGCTGATAGCACTGCCATTTTTGAAAGATACCAAACATTTCCCATTGTAAGCAACTGAAAATAGAATCTTATAATTTTGTGCAGATGTAAGCACCGTGGTTAAAATTTTCTATGCTAAACGCCCCCCTCATGTTGATTTAATTTTTTTTTAAATTTAAGCCAAAAGGGTTCAGCTGATTTTGAAAACCGAATTGGAGGAAAATATTGCCAATGTTAAAAATATTGTAGTGGCCTTTCTTCAGAAAGCTCTAGTGCTTCCATTCTTTGGAGCAAGGGCATGAAATCTGGTAAGGGGATGGATGGCCTTTATATTAGGGATGAGGTTTTAGCTATCCCTCTAAAATTCAGCTGAATTTGGTCATGTTGGTAAAAATCAGTTTGTCCATACTCAGTAGAGATTTCTTAAGAATTTTGGCAGCTAAAATCTCCTAAACTCCCATTCCCACTGAATATGCTCCATCCCTTCACCACTCCTGTGACCATAGTGCACTTGCACCCTCTCCACAGAATGACCATCTGCACAGAGAAACCATGGTTCTGCCCAAGGCTACATGACTACAGCTGGACTTCATACCAGCTGTGTAGAACTATAGATGTTCAGGCCAGAATTCTAGGACCCTGCAAAGGCGGGAGGAACCCAGAGTTCACGCTCCACCTCAAGCTTGAACATCTACACTACAATTAAATACCCTTTATTCCAAGCCCCATGAGCCTGAATCAGCTGTCACAGGCCAACTGTGGGTTTTTAACTGTGGTATAGACACCCTCAAGGTACTCACTGAGATGGAGCAGCTCTGGTCTCCAAGTATCTACCTACCTCTAGGCTCTCCATCTCTTATGTAGTGATAACCAGGGAGTTGATTCTCAAACTGGAGTTAGACAAGTGCATGGGCTGCTAAGAATAGTGTTTTCTTGCTTACCTGTTCAAAAACAAACCAAAATACTGACTGAAATAATGGAACACTATCAGAATTTAAATACTGTAAGCCATGCTCCCTTTTGTATATGGTGGAGAGGTTGTGGCTCACCTGGCCCAGTTCTGGGTGGGTTTCCATTAGGCAAGTACTGAACCAAAATTTTTAAAGAAATTACATTCAATGTAGATTTCAGTGTCCTGATGGTTTTGAAACAGGTCATTTCCAAAGTACTTGCCAATATAATTTTAATAAAGAAACTAAAATGGCAAATAAATATCTTGTTGTTGATTGGCAGATTAGTGATTGTATAACACTGGAAAGCAGCTTTTTACCACATCAGACTGGGAAAAACAAATAGGAAGAATTGCTGAATTAGAAAAACTCAGGAGTTGTCCACCCAGGAACTTAGTATTCAGCAAGCCAGAGTGTGCCCTAAAAGTAGTTCAGTGCACTTTGACATACTGCTGGGAAAGCAGCAGTTCATCAAAGCACACTGTAGAATTTTTGTGTGAGGTAGCAAGGTTCACATGGTGACTTAGCGCTCTAGCCTGCAACACATGGTAGATTATAATCAGTGAAGCAAGTAGCTGGTATGGTCTAGTACAGGGGTCTCCAAACTACGGCCCGCGGGCCGGATGCGGCCCGCGAGGCCCTCTCATCCGGCCCGTGGAGACCGTCCCTGGGGTGCCGCTGAACGGGCCCTTCTTGCCCTGTTAGGGGTTGTGCGGCGTGTACTCACGCCGTGCCGGGGCAGGCGCAGCGGGGCGCGCCGCCGACACGC